TCTGATTGTTGTAAATTCACTCCTATTAGATTTTTTATTTTATGACATAAAATCTCACAGGTTAACTCCGGGCAAGTTTTGTTCCAGCCAAAAATTATTATATTATTTGATTTTCTCTTTCTTTCCAATTCTTCAACTTATTCTTTTAAAATACTATTTTCTTCTTCCAACTCCTTAATTCTAACTTTTGAGTCCTCTAGTTTCAGAAGAATAATGATGAAGATCTTGCATTTAAAGACAACAAGCTAATGGCAAATTACTGTAACCAATACTTCATCAACATTGGCTTATATATGGTAAATAATATAAAAAAAACCAGTTTCACAGAAATTGTCTCAAAAAACTGTAATACCATATTTCTTAATCCTGTTACAGACAAAGAACTAATATAGCGTATTTCTTCGCTGAAAAGTAGTAAGTAGTTCACCACGAATTGATGGAATAACAGCTGACATTATAAAAAACAATCATCAATATATTTTAAAACCAGTTAAACACATAATTAACTTAATTTTTCTGAATGGTGTTGTCCCCAGTCAATTTAAATCTTCTATAATTACTCCTATTCATAAAGATGAAGGTAAATCAAAAATTTCAAATTATAGAACGATTAGTGTAATTAATAATTTTGGAAAGATCTTTGAAAAATGTCTAAAAACTCGATTAGTGGAATTTTTTGATAAACATAATATATTACATAAGCAGCTGTTTGGTTTTCGGGCTGGCAAATCGACTAGTGATGCTATGTGCTCAGTTATTAGGGACATTACAGAAGGTTTGGATAATAATAAGAAATATATAGCAGTTTTTCTGGATCTTGCTAAAGCTATACATCCTAGAACGTTATGGTATTCGTGGCGTAGTTTTAGATGTTTTTAAAAGTTATCTGACAAACCGGGAACAATGCGTTAAAGTTAATGATACGGTAAGTGAGCCTGGAATTATAAAAATAGGTGTACCTCAAGGTACCGTTCTTGGCCCAGTACTATTTCTGACTTATATAAACTCTCTCTTGTCATTGGTAACGGGAGCAACTATGGTATCCTCCTCGGACGATACAGTCACGATTTTTTGTGAAAACTCTTGGATGGAAACTAGAATGGCTGTTGAACGAGGTATGGAAAAAATTACGTGGCTAAACATGTACCAACTTTCATTAAATGTTAACGAGACAATAAATCTCGCATTTACCTTAACTGAAACAAATAGACCTGATTTTACTAAGATAAAAATCACAGGTATGCAAGATGAAATTAAAGAGGCAAACGAAGTCAAGTACTTGGGTATAATTAGGGATAAAAATCTAAAAGGTGAGAAAGCTTATTTACAAATTTTATCAACTAAAAGAAATACTATCAAGAAAATTGTTATTACTAATATACAAGTGCCTAGCTGAATCACTTTTTTGTTATGGTATCTTTATTTGGGGAGGAATGTACAGGAACTCATTGCAGAAACTAAATATCACACAAAACTATATACTTAAAATTATATTTAAGAAACATATCACACAAATCTCCTATACACTGAAGATGTATGTAATACTTATCCGAACATTATACTTTCATATTCAGGAATAAATTATTAGTAGGTAAATATCCGTAGTATAGCTCTAGTTTATCAAACCCATAGTACTGCTAATGAGTTACTGCCAACCCAAAGATTTCAGAAAAATATATGTCATAGATTTTTTATTCATACTGTGCCCAAAGCATGCAACCTCCTACCACTAGAGATTAGGCTTATCACTAAATTTAAAAGTTTTTTAAGTGTAACAAAAAAATGTATTTTTCAAAATTATAGAGTTCGCAAAAATTTTACGATAAAAAAATAAATAAAAATTATGAAGTAAAAAAAATGATATATTTTATGCTCATACAAGTTTTTTTTTTTAATATTAACTATTATTAGGCAAGTTTATTAAATCCTTAGAGTTGCACAACACAAGTGTTCAATCACTTAGGTGCACACTCTTTATTATTTACCTTATGCATTAGGCATTTAGGCTATGTGTGCCTTATTTCTATAAGTTTTTCTGTGTTTTTTAGTTGTAATAACTTGTTTTGAATTTCTAAAATGTGTATAAGTGTAGAGAATATTATTTGTAATTTCTAAATTATTTGTAAATTCTATGATAAATAAATAAGCCTGCAGCTTTTTTGTTTACCAAATTTTTAATGTTTTTGATGTTGCCATTATCGAGCATGGCAGGTGCTTTATCTTTGGTGCTGTAAGAGATATTAGAATTGGGTTTACGGCATATTATTTGGCTAATTTTTTACTTCAGAAATATATATGGGTGATTCTCGCCTAACTGTGATTTTTTATGTCCAGTGTTTTATTTATCGTTTAGCATAAGTTTTCCTCATCAAAAAGTTAATAATATTATAAATTTAGAGGTATTTTACAACCGACATTATGATTTAGATCATAAATCTTCGTAATTTTTTTTAAGCTGCTTATAAATATACTCGAAATGTCAGTACCATGTCCGATTCTCATTTTTAAAATTAAATATATAAATTTCTATCAAAATTCATTTTTTAATATAAAATTTATCTCTCATAACTACAATCTAATGCATACTGCATTGAATTTTATTGCAATTTTATACCAATCTTTGGATTGGTAAAAAAAAATAATCATTTATATGTCAGTACCGTGGAAATAATGTCAGTACCGTGGCATTAAAATTTTTAAATTTTGTCACAGTTTTCGTTGTGTCGTAGCTGTAGTAGAACCACTTTACAGGCTTATTTCTATGCATAAATAGAAAACAAAAACGCGTAAAACATACGTTTTGAAACATTTTTAATTTTAGAATTTTTTTGCTCATGTGGTTCGTAAGAAACATTGGCTATGCTAGCTTGGGACCTAAGAGCAAACTGAACTTCTCAGGAAAGCAAAAATGTTTTAAAGATTTTCTAATAAAAAATTGTATTTATTTACGTGCCATTTTTTATTGCTCTGTGCCTTATTTAATATCACGTGTTTTTATTATAAGCTATAAAAAAAATGAATTAAGTTAGATGACAATAAAATTCACTCTATTTATAGAGGCGAAAAATTGAAAATAGTACCTAGATTACTAATTTACATTAAAAAGAGAAAGATATAAATGATTTCATATTCATATCTTTGTTAAAGAAGAACATACTTAGGTACCTATACCAGTTTTGTTATGTTTTTAAGAATGTTTCTATAAAAATTAAAATTTGATGTGAATTTTTCTAATTATTTCATATACTTGCAGTATACCTACACAATTATATTACTCAGAAGTGATTACATGAGCTGATTCTGAAAACTGATTAGATAGACGATAAACCAATAAAGTAAATATGACATAAAAATAATTTTGATTTTTCATGGTATAGGAGATAGCCGAGGAGATAGCTTTCAAGTTAACAGGGTTATTCTTTCCTAAAAACTGCTATGGCAAACAAATAAATTTTTTCGTTGGTAAATAAAAAAGAATATGCGGCAAACCTGATTCTGATATCTCATAGAAACAGAGATACAGTACTTGCCATTCTAGTTTGAGTATCAAGATAGCATAGCCAATGTTTCTTATAAATCAAGAAAACAAAAAAATAAATTGATTTATGTATACTTATAAAGTAAAAAAATACAGCGAGTTTGTGACTTGAAATTAAAAAATGTGTGAATTAACTGAATGGAAAAGAATAGGGTATAACAGCAGTGTCACATGCCTGAACTACAGAGAAGTGAGGCAGACTGGAAGGCAAGCCTCCTTAGAGGGAACTCAGCACAATGGGTTCCATTTTTTGCTGCTTAACTAAAACTGTGACCTTTGAGGATTTTTACAGTATTGCCACTATTGCCAGACACATTAGCCTTTCGTCTTGGTCCTGGCAAATAATTATGTACAAATCCGAACACATGGCTTTATTAGGAGAGTTTCAATTTTAAAGTGTCAATTACTGGGGCTCTTACCTTATTTAAAAAAATAATTTTAAATAAACTTACCTCCAATATTTGAAGCTCTAGTAAAGTCTCTGTCCATAATAATAAACTCCAAATTACAATACCTGAAGCGCCGAGTAATACAATAAGTGGTTTATATCGGCACAAATCCGTAATTAAAAATATTATTACCAAATGAGCGAGGTAACTGTACGTAGCCACCGGATATACCTTTGAAGTTATTTCTGCTTCTGTAACATTTCTCCATCTTTTATCAATTAAAAATTCAAAAACAAAGGGCTCCGAGGGCCTTATTTCCTTTAAAAATCCAAAAACACTAAGGATCAGAGATATTTTTAACCAATCTTTCATCGTGCTAGATTATATAACATAAAACACAATTACTTTAATAATTGTATTATCAAATAATAGTTCCTATCCACATTGTATAAAAATAAGTATCTGAACTCACGCACTCCTTAAAATTAAGAACTAACAACATTAGGTTGTTATGGTTTAAAATAAACATTATTTATGGAAGATTTTAAATTTGAAGGTTGACAGTATGGAAAAATTTAAAAACTGATTATAAACCATAAAGATATTTAATAACATAGATCAAATGTCATACATTCAATGCAGTTTCTTTTTTGTAACTACAAAAAAATTATTTTTAAATTATTCTATAATAAATATTAATAGAATAAAAAATGCCAAAATGCCCTCGTAATTAAAAAATAGAATAGTAGTAATTAAGTAGTATGTATTTTAAACAACTGGAATAATAAAGAAGAAAGTTTGTTTCTCTTTTAATTATATATGGGCCTCCACCATTGAGAGTATTGTGCCCAATTAAGAAGTAGATTGGAGGCACACCATTGGACCGCACGTATCACAGTATGAATTCGAAATTGAAAGCATGTCATAAAAGTTCGCCCTTTACGGAGAAACAATGTCCAAATAATCCTGGCTGGTGTAAAGAGACACCATTTATGCAGACAACAGGGTAAGCAAATGTCTGATGACAATAGGCCAATTATTTAAAAAAGAAGAAGAGTGCCTGACACTCCTGACAGACATAACCTAATCTAACCTATGAAACTAAAATTTTGAAAACAAAAAAATATGCCTCCGAAAAAAGGTGGATCAAAGCCTGCCAAAGCCTCAAAGGGTGAAGAATCAGGAGATAAAGGAGGTACATTTCTAAACAATTATGAACATTAAATAATAACTACCATTGTTTTTGTAATTACAGGAGGAAAGGAAAAGAAAGGTGGTTCATCTGTTAAAGTTAGACATATATTGTGTGAAAAACAAGGCAAATGTTTAGAAGCATTAGAAAAACTGAAAGCCGGTCAAAAGTTTCCGGAAGTAGCTGCAACTTACAGTGAAGACAAGGCTAGGTCAGGTGGTGACTTAGGTTGGATGATACGAGGATCAATGGTAGGACCTTTTCAAGATGCTGCATTTGCATTACCAATTTCCACTGTGAATAATCCTATTTATACGGATCCTCCTATAAAGACAAAGTTCGGTTACCATATAATTATGGTAGAAGGAAAAAAATAAGAGACTAAATTTGCTGTTATATGATGAAGTGATAGTAATCCTGTTTTACTTTTGTTATATTAAAAACATTTTTTATATGACTAGCTTTTCTAATCATGAAATTATCTATACATACCTTAAGATTGCTGTTCTGGGAAGGGGCCTGGCTTATCCGCTCCTAGCGCCAGCCCTTCACTTAGACATGGTAGATTGGTAAGAGAAGTTATTTTTATAAATACTTTTGAGAATATTTAGACTTTAAAATACGTGGTCTTAAAGCAGGAAAGGGGGCACTATTTATGATCATTAAGAACAAGGCATGGAATATAATTGATCATGTTTTATTGAACAAAGTACCTTTATTTTTCGATAAGTAAACATGGTATAAATTGGACCACCCTGTATACTGCCTAAACCATCACAGATGATCGTTTAAGTTAATCTATGGTTATACCAACTGATCTTAGTTTAAAAACCAGGGCAACTAAATTTTTTGGTTTAATCTTATTTTATGCTTAAACTCATTAAATTAAGACGATGCAGCAAGGTATAAATTAAAGTTACATCAAACCTTCAATGTTGTAATAAAACAAATTAAATTTCATTTGTACAAATAATTTATTACCACAGAGAACTAATACTAATAGAATATAATAAATACTTATAATCTTAATATAAATACGTAACTTTGTTTTGAATATGTCTTATAAAAAGTTCTTTTTTGTTTCATGGGATATATATAATAATTTAAAATTTGTAAATGTTATTTGTTTTAACTTTTAGTTAAATTATATAACAAATTGTACGAATAGCAAATAGTTTTTATTTTTCCATTTAGTTAATATCATTTTAATTTACCCAATTTTTTTATTGTTTCATTTTGTATAATGTAAATTGATTTCCAATAAAATGAAACAGGTGTTGTAATCTAGCGATAAAAAAGGATAAGTAAATAAAATAACAAGAGTCAAAGCGATGAAATAATTTAAAGTTAAATCAACCACATATCGCTCATTTACGAGAAAAACCGACATAACTCAAAAAACTTCAAATCGAGTTAATAAAGTTTAATGCAAAAAATTATCAACTGCGGAAGTGTCCTTGTTTCTTTATAAAGAATGTACTTTTTCAATTATGTTGGTACAATAATCTGAGAATTGATTTTTGAATTGCGCTGGTATTGTCGCAAATGAGCGATATTTGAAATATTTTTAACGATTTTAAATTCAGTCAAATTTAGCATTTAGATTAATACATTGGGATTCGTATATCTAATATATTTCAAGAGATCCTCATTTTCTTCACACACCCACGGTTTGACATGATGACAAGCAACGTCATGCCAATTGACGCCGTCATTATAGAATTGATTAAGGACCGCCAGGCAATTTTCTTGAGCGCCTCCTTGTATTGCTTCTCTGTTGTCCGGTTGAGGTTTGCCTATACCGCCGGATTCGGACCAGTCATTTTGGTCTCTTTGGGTAGTCGGGGCTAATTTTTGCAGAACTGCTGTCCAAAACCAACCATTGATGTTATTGGGAAGCAAATCTTGGCGATCGCAGCCTTTGAAGTCGCAGAGGCGACCGGAAGTCCAAATATATTTCACCTGGAAGAAAAATATCTCATATTAAAAAGGTTATCCATATCTGAAATGTGGTATGCCTAATAAGGAAAAGAAAACTCAAAGGCTTAACAACAATATTAATTTTATTCAGGGGCGACTAGTTTCGGTTAAATGATCATCATCAGGGCTGTAAGAAAAGTATAATATATGAGAGGGAAGAATAAATATATCTAAAACAATTGAAGATGAACAAAATTTCTCAGAGAACTGAGTCTAAATGAAATTGACAGTTAAATGGACTACACAATACCTAGTAAAAATAATTCATATAATTAATATACTGTACAACTCGAGCGGAATGTCCGTATCGCACTCAGGTGCACTCAGACTTCATATTTGTGGCCATTATATCCATCCTTGTAAAAGGCGGCTCCAGGGGGCCATGCCTCCTCCCAGATTACAATTTTTACTCAATTGAAGAGCCTTTTATTTAGAGTGACCATATGTATAGCGATTCGTGGTGGGTCTCAGGGGACCATGCCTCCCTCGAGCTTAAACTTGTTACAATCCCTGAGTCAGCATTTTCAAAGTTTGCAAACATATTATATGAGGCGTGTCACTTCAAAAGGGTCTATATCCATTTTCGATGAAAAATTAGTCCACCGCTGTTTTAACTACTGTGTAGCCTGGGGCATATAATAGGTTTGTTCTGGTTCTCAAAATGAAAACTGTTTTGAAACTGCGCCGGACCGTATGCGTAAAGGCAAAAAATCCCCGACTGTTTGAAATTATTGGAAAACCAGAACACGGTCATAAAGGTGTTTTGTTTATTGTTTATTATAATAATGAAGTTCCTTTTGAAAGCTCAGCTTCAAATAACATTTGCATGTATATGTTTATCATTAATCATCACATTTCAATGGAATAAATAAAAACAGAATATTAAAAAATTAATAATTCTAAAATTGCTTTAATTTACAAATAAAACAAGAACAAGAGACATTCGTCCACATATAAATAAACAATTTGGGATTGTATACGTTTCGTATGGTCTAAAAAGCCAATACAATATTCATAACACTTCAAAAACGCATGCGCGGTCAAAACAGTCCGAGTCGATCCACACTCCCAAGCATGAACACTTTTTGACTGTTTACAACAATCACGGATTATTTCGGATACGAAACCAGAACACTGGACTGAGAGATCCGAAGTAGTCCCAGAAAAACCAGAACACTTTTTATCTACTGCGCATGAGCCCGACAGTTGTGGATCGTTATTTCTCAAAACCAGAACAGACCTTAAAATAACTCTTAAACGTGCCAAAGTGGGCTTTATCCCGTTGAAAAATAATATCAAAATACCCATATTCATTACCAGCTGGTCATCTCATCGGCGGCACCTTTGTACTTTGAAAGTCAGCAGTCGGTAGGTCGGTATTCGCGCGCTGTAGAGAGTGGGATAGCGAGCCACCATACTAGTAACGATTCGCGTATCAGGCCCGTATTAAGTTGTTTTAACAAGAATCGGATTACAGAAACGATAAAAATTATAAATGTATATTACAAAATATTTATTAAAAACGACTTGCACATTAGCTTACATTACTAATAAGAAAATAATTACTGATTTTTCTGACTTTTAAAATTCCTATTGGCATATTTTGGCGTATAATAAGTTCTGACTTTTGCATATAAGTTCAGCAAGTACGTATGCGGAAAATGTGTACAGGGGTAAATAAATGTGACGGTTTTAAAAATATTAACAATTCTGTGGAGGGCGCTTAAAAGGTCATAAGTCGTTTTTTACGTAAATGGAGTTTTTAGTCAAGATACGTTTAGAAGAGTATATTTTAGGCAGTTAAAAGGATCTAGGTGTATATACGTTGTGAAGTAATAAAAATAAGGTACAAAAAACATTTATAATAATACAAGGATAACCGCGAAAGACAAAACGTCATAATTAAATATTAACAGTCAAATTTTGTAACATAAAACAGTTAAAACAAAATATTTTTACATATTTTTTAATTTTTACAGCACCAAATGTCCTAAAAAGATCGTCGATTTGGATTCTAAAAATCCTAATTCATATGTCCCGAAATTTTCAAGCGCTATTCTCTAAAAATGTGTAATAGCGACCACAGAATTGTGGAAACTAAATTATAACAGTCAATTTCTCAAAATTCTTTTGGAACAGTATTTTTAATGCTGTTATAAAATTTATAAAATTTGTATGTGGCATATAAAGACTACCGTACTGATCCAAATCTGAGTGCCTGTATGCTTTATAAAAAGAAAATGATGTTTCATCCACTTTGGTACTATTTGCATTTGCATATTGCACGCACGTGTCACAAAGTATGCCGCACCAAACATTTTTTTATTAAATAACCGCAAACATATTTGACAAATTTTTTTTCTAAAATATCTGATTTTCTATAATCAGTATCTACGATTACAGTTTTAATAGGTACTGCAGGTTCACACCGGTCTTCCACATTCTGTGGCATATCTGTCATCTTCAGTAAAACACGACTAGTATCGTCCTCGCAGTTTTCTGTACCTATATGTAAGAGATCTAAAGAAAGTAATTTTCTGAACGCCCGTATAAACTGTGTTGGGGTTGGATTTACATTATTTCCACACAGTTGGTGAACAGAACCCAAAAAAATTTCAAGACAATGTGTTCTTTGAGTTAATAAAAATTTTATGTCAGAATGCTGTAAATTTTCCCATAAATGCAAAATACCGTTAATAGTTATTTTCCAATCCAATATGCACTTAATTGTTTTTGTAACATTTACTCCATCTGCGTTAAATACTTCCATATTATTGAAAAAAGTTAAGCACTCCTTCCAAAAGTCTGTTTTGTTCTCTGTTGCCTACATACACTTCCTGATATTGTGTAGCTGCTGGACCACCAGATGTATTTAAAATTTCGAACAAATTGTTCATTCTTAAAATCAAGTCCACTGTAGTAGTAGCTGCTGATGAAAGTGCGTCGAACCTAATGTATAAATACATACTGTGAGCTACAGAAGCACTAAAAACTTGAGCTGCTAATTTGACCTTCATTTTCTCAAAATTAATCTTAAAATTGTGTTTTATCAGGTTATTTCTAAGTGCTTTTAACAAATGAGGGATATCAAAGAGAAATACAATTTTGTCATTCCCAAACATGAAATACGGATGTTCTGGTGAAACATCCAGTAATTTTGCCAACTGCAAATTATTTGAGCCCATGTCACATACAACGCCTACTACTTGGAGCCCTATATTAGTAACTTCTTGTATGACGTTTAAAATTAGTTGCTTTAATTGCAATCCAGGACACGTAGAATTAACTAGATAATAGGCAAGTGGTTGTTTCCAATTTGTACATATACCTCTAGTCATGACTACTGTGGCAGCTAGTGCTGGTTTAAAAGATCTGTATTCACCTCCCATGTCTTCAAGATCATATACCCTATCTGAATTTATATTATAAAACAAATTAGCTTTACAGTTCGTTTCATCCACAAAAGTAAAACAAAGTTTATCTAATAACTCAAAACGTTTTTGGCTTTATCCTTTAAAATTTTAAATAGTACACTATTTATACCAACAGAAAAATTAATGTCACTGATAAACTTTTGTAAGGTGCCAATTCCAGGCAGACAAAAGTTATTTGACAGTTGCTGTTTTTTATATAATTTCGGACTTAGAAAATAGAGCGACAAACAATATTGCTTAAATTCACTAGTGAATCGTCTACCTTTCGGTTTCTTGACCATTTCTCGTACTTGTATAATTATAAAACCTGCTATATCTTTAGCGCCGCACAAACGATTAAAAATACGCATTATCGCATGTTACCTCGAAAATAAACTTTTTACACACAACACGATAAAAATACACTAAGTTCGCTCCTGTACTCCTGTTCTCTACACACCACTTTCTAGCGGCAAGTGAAGCTCAGACAGCTGGTAATGACTCCGCCCATATGCGCAGCCGTCCCAACTCCAACGTTCCGTTTTTATGGCGAGATGAACCAGCTGGTAGTGAATAAGCTGTGGTTCCATATTTAGAAATATGAACGCGTCAAACAGGCCTGTATCCAATGAACCAATCAGATCTCTCAAAATCCCGCCCAAAGTTAATTCAGTTTAAATATAACAGTGTGTTAGTTGATGTTTATGAACAGCAATCAGTGGTAGTATTTTTAGTTTTGTGTTGTGTTTGTGTTTATTATTATTAAGGGCACTATGAACGAAAGTATTACCCCAGCTGAATCAGGAAAAGCTAGGCGGGATGCCTGGAGATCGTAGTAAATGGAAGACCACGACGCAGATGATGAGTTTTGCGAGGGACATGCAGATGAGCAACTTGCTGATCGTGTGTAAAGCTTTGTTTGACCAAAAATGTTCGTTATCAGTTTTTTAGAGTTTAAATTATATTTTTGTAAGCAAGTTGCTAATTATTATTAGACAAAATAAAGATAATCTTTTTCATTGTATTTCGATTATTATTGTGTCAAATCAGCCTATATCCTCATACGGTTGTCGCAAAAGTTCCTTTATCCACTTGGCTACAGCAAAAGGGTCTATATCCAAATTTTGAAGTTAATTTACAACTCTTTTCGGCATTTAACGTTTAGTTTCTTTTTGTATTTTGATATTACAGGTTTGTAAAAATAATTGTAAGAGGTTCTGTATCTATTACAACCACAAGATTTATGTTAAACAGTTTTTCGCGAATTCTGGAAAACTAGTGAGAGTGGATAAAGACCCTTTTGCGGTGACACGCCTCATATGTAAAATGATACTATTATCGGGCAAAGGTAATAAGTAGGACTTGGGGGAAAAAGGTTTTCTAGTAGTACATGCACGAGCAAAGAAAAATCGTCGCTGGTTGAGGATATAATAAAAAATTCGCGTCTAGCTTAAAGAAAAAACATTAATAACATGGCCCCCACTCTAGTTACACAAACTTCTATTTTAAATGGAACTTCCGATATTTTAGGCAGGTACTTATATTAAAAACAGTTAATCGCTTCAAATA